GTGTGACCCAGCTAGAGCTGCACAGCTGTTTACAAGTGCTTCCTGGGTTTTGCAAGCAGATGCGGCACTCAAGTGCCTGGTGAAAGCAGATTAACCTGTTCGTTCCTCAGAAAGCAACTCTGAGCTCGGGGCGGGGGGCCTAGCCAGCAGGAGCTCCCGCCAGCGCCAGCTGCCTGCGATTGGAGCCATCCAGGCTTCCCCGCTGACTTCAGCTGAAGGTACGGTACAAAAGCCTCCGGTGCAGATACTCTGGGCTGAAGTATTACTAAACCGGAGAGCAAGGCCCCTGGATGGGAGAGGAACCTTGGTATCCTGCAGAGAGGAGTGGTGTGCTGCTATCAGCCTCCCACTGCAGGGCAGCTTCCTTCGCAGCCTAATTCCCAGGTGAATTTAAGATGCACAAACAGAAACCTGGGATGAAGTGCTGCTGTAGGGTTCCCTTGTTTTCTTGACAGTGGATTTTCATCTTAACATTGACTGAAAAAACAGGGGATGCGTTAACCAAATTGGTGGCTAAAATAAGCTCCTTGACTTCAGAGTGTTCCCTATGCGCAGTCTGTCTCCCAGGGGCCCTTTCACGCCTGCGTAGACCTAGCCGTTTGCTGCACACGCATGTTGCTGCGTGATATGGGGAATCGGGACGGGGTTTTCCCCACGCTCTGACAGCACTGAGCCCCTGCCAGCTGCTCTGCGAATGCCGTGCTGCTTCAGGGAAGGAATCTGCCGTTGCTTGTTTTCTGCCTTTTTAAGATGATCTCTGTTTAAATTTCTGCAGGCCCCTAGGCTAGCTGGACCTGAGCAGCATGCTAGCATTGAGTAAATCCCACCCAGCAGGACCTCCCCGTATCTTTAGGGGTGCATTGTGCCCAGTGCCAGCCTCCCCACCATGCAGTGGCAGACACAGCCGTGTGTCTGCTCCCGCGCGGACGGAGCTGGCCCATGAGGGGAAGTGTGAGCAAATGAAAGCTGGAAAGTGCTATAAATACCAAACCGAAGTCCAGCGTTCTCCGCGGCAGTCCAGATCACGGTTTCTGAGGATCAGGGTTTGAGGACAGTGCGTGTGTGTGATAAGCCAACACTGAGTATGTTGTAGTAATTTTGTAATTACAGTGTCAATGACAATTTCTTGCACTACTGAATAAGGAGCAAAATCTCTGTAATTCCTCTGAAAGGCTCTCCTAGGTTTGAAAGCATTTTTCCTGAGCAATTTCAGAGCCAAAGATGCACATGAAAAAGGAAGGTACTTACAGCTCCAGAGAAAGAGCGGATAGGGCCAGAGTTTTTGCTCATTTTTATTTTGATAAGTAGATTGTAGTTTACTAGCTGAGCAGGGAGAATAATCTTGGTAGACTTAGCCAGGAAATTTTAGACTTGAAACAAGTAGGTAGATACATGCCACTTTCCAAAATCCATGAAAACTGTAACCACTGAGAGAGACTTTGACGACTAATTTCTGCAAACGTCAACAAGAGTACAGGAATAACATTATTTAAAAGGGTAAAATTATTTTGCAACAAACAACATCTAGTCCCTGTTTCTTGGGAAGGGTGTATCTCTTAAATGTTGTTTTGGTACATCTAGCTTCCTCTCCCATTTGAAGCATTAGCCTAGAAAAATAATTTTAAACTAGTTAAATTACTAGTCAAACTGGAGACATTTCTCTGTAGCCACAATGAACACATGCACGCGCACACTAAATTCACATTTTGGTGAGCATTCTGTATGTCAAAGCTCTCTCTGAGCTTTTCCTTTCTCATGTTCTTCTTGATTGAAAATGGTGGTGCATGTCTCCGGATGGGTTTAATATGCCTTGAATTCTCCATGTTTCACCATTCTCTCCTGCGCAGACTAATTTCTGGTCAAAAGTGAGTCCTGCTGGTCTCAGTCGTTAATCCACAGAAAAATCATTGTGCGCTTTGTTTTTTTTAGAAGACTTGTCTTGTGAGAAACAGATAATTCCCTGTGAGTCACCCAGCAGCAATGGCAAAGCTTGGAGAAAAAAAAAGGGGGAAGAGAGGGGAGGAGTGACCTGAGATCTGACTCAGAGCACGCTATTTTCAAGAGCAAGCGTTTCCAAACAACGAAGACTCAGATATTATCTCCAGGTACCCCATCGCTCGGGGAACATGGTTACCAAGCAAGGTTTCTGAAAGTCAGTTAATAAAGTTACACACAGCTGGCACTTACACATGCCATGGTTTGCTGAGGAGATATTCCTGATGGCAACAGAAGATAAAATAATTATGAAATTAGGAGTCTGTCCAGAGACAAAACATATTTATTAAATATGCTTGCCTTCTAAAAGCTGTGTGTCCCAGGGAAATCAGATGCTGGCTCTCTAACCTTACGCCTCATCTAGCCAGACAATTCACAGCTTCCAGGTACCTCTGGATAACCTCCCTTCACCCTGCGCTGGAAACCGCAGTGGCTCCCACACCAACAAGAATAAAACTGGTCATCTAGTAAATCTGTTGCTGAACTCAGCTAACCAACTTCCTGTAATATCAGCAAATATTTCTGCTTTTGTAAATCTGTTCTTCCCTCCGTAACTGGGTGCCAGCACAACCAGGAATGCTTTGGATCTAGAAATGCGCTGGTTGGCAGGAGGAACAAAGAAATTGCTCACCCAGAAGGGCAAAAGAGGACTAATGCTTTTGTCTGCTCAGGAGAAATCACGCAGAACTTCTGCCAACAACTTTTGCATGCAATCAGGAAGATGCCTTGGATGTTACTTTTAATGACAGACATTAATATTGTCTACTAATGAGAAATGTCTTTGGTGACTAAAATAAAAGCAGATCCTGAAACGCTTCTGTGGTTGAACGGTCGCTTTACAGATACTGCCTGCTGCCCAATAATGTCAGGCTCTCCATGAACTTGAGCGGGCAGCTGCTGTTTTTCCGAACCTTTTGGAAATATGCCAGCCATGACATGTCACTGATCTTAGCTAGCTGCAGGGTGTATTTCATTCTGCTGCTCTAGGCAATTTGATAAAGGCTCGTTCTTCCCTCTCCAGAGCTACCCACCCCAACTGTAGCTGAACACCTAGCTGCATTTGCCAGAACTCAAGCCTATTTGCTTAGTTAAGATTTGCTTAAATTGGTTGTTTTATATAAAGGAGCAATTAGATTGAGTTTATCATGTTTTCTGAGCTAACAGTAGTAGTGCTAGATGTATGCTAAGAGTTACTTGGCATGAAGAAACATTGCCACAGTCCTTTATGAATAAAATCATGAATAAAATCATTTTTAAGAATCGTTATCCTTTTCTTGACACCAGGAATTTATGCAGCAAAATATAAAGCTTGGTGTCCACCACTCAGAGAAACAAGGGGGAAGTCTTCAACCTGATACGTGATTTTTTAAAACAGAACGTAAGAAAACATGATTTTCCATTTGCGCTGTCCAGACCTATAGAAAAAGTTGGCACTGGGTTTTTCCATTTGAGACCACAGGAGCTCTACAGGCATTTCCATGCTTTCTTATTACTTTACTTCAAAGCCAACTTTTCTATTTAGACAAGATATAGCCGGCATCTGGAGGCATAGTTCAGCCTCATCATCAAATGGAGATGCACTTAAGAAACCTCATCCATCTACCCCATGTGAGGGGTGACAGGGTGCAGGGATCCCTTTTTATTTGTGCAGAGGAAATTGGGGGGCACACTGCCAGTAATAAACATGGGGGTTTTGCTTCCCTCACTGCCGCTCTCTTCTGTAAGACGGTGGGCTGCTGCTGAGCCTTCCCAGGGCAAAGCCGGGGGTAAAACGCCACGGTGGTGGAGGAAGGAGCAGGGCCTGGGCTGCCTCAAAAGGAAGAGCCACCCATCCCTGCTTAGAGGAAAGACACAATCGTTATGGGTTAGTGTGCATATGTTTTAGGCGTACCAGTTCCCTGCTCCGTCAGATGTGGAGTGGAGCTACGCAGGTCCCCTGCACCACCTCAGAGCGACAGCCGGGGTGTCCTTCCTGTGTCCTGTTGCTGGCTGTGACCACGCTAATGCTGCAAAGGAAAGCAGAGGAGAATAATCCCACGATATATTCAGCCAGTTGTACACCTGGGGACCTGACTCCTGAAAACCCACTGAAGCCCTGAAGCATGAGATTTGAGTCTCATAATTGTCCTAGTACAAAGCTGTGAGTGTCGTTAGAGTGCTGAGGTCAAGGCAGGCAACCCTGCCCTCCCCGAGGTCCCTGAAGATGAGGGTTTCCACAGCCGGAGGGACGCTGAGCTCCGGCTGGCTCCACCACCAGCCGTGTGAGCCCAACCAAACCTCGATATCAGCGTCCCCGGTTTCCCTGTCCCAGTGCGTATGGAGAGGGTGCACGAAGCACGGAGCACGTCACAGAGCCCTAACGCCAGGAGGAGCTGTGGGATGTGACCTCCCGGTCCAAGGGTACGTGCACGCTCAGTGCTGTGGCCGTGCGTACATGCGCCGCGGTGCGTTGCGGCGCTGCTGGTGTCCAACGCTGGCTTTCTTGCCGATGGTGCTCCTGGAGGAAAGGTGTACATCCCCGTTGCAGCCACCTGTGTGTGCCCCGACACCCGAGCGCCCGTCTGCCTTAGCGTGATGAGAAAACCCTGGGATAAAATCACAGGGCAAAGCCAGTGACAAAACACTGTTAAGTGTCGCGAGATAAAGCCGAAACAGATATGGGGAAAGCATCTCCCATCCCTGACGCCGGGAGGGAAGGAGTTGCACGCTGTTCCCCCACGGGGACGTTACCCGAGCACGTGGCGGCCGGACAGAGATCCCCCAGGGAGGACACGGCACGTGCCTGCTGGGGACACACGCTGAAGACTCAGGACACGGGCACAGGATGGGGGACAGTCCAGGGGACACCCACACCCGTCCTGGGACTGGCACAGTCCCAGCAAGGACGGGGGATAGGGGACAGGGACGGGGACAGCCCCAGCAAGGATGGGGGACCCAGGCCAGGTTGGGGTCAGCCCCAGCGAGGATGGGGGACCCAGGCCAGGTTGGGGTCAGCCCCAGCGAGGATGGGGGCCCCTGAGGAGGTGGGGATGGCTCCTGCGAGGACAGGGGACCCGTGCCAGAACCGGGACGGCCCCGGTGAGGCGAGGGGACCCGTGTCGGTACGGGGACGGCCCTGGCGAGGACAAGGGACCCATGCCGCGGTGGGGACGGCCCGGGTGAGGTCGAGGGGCCCGTGAGGAGGCGGAGATGGCCCCAGGGAGGAGAGGGGCCCCGTGCCGGGACGGAGACGGTCCCGTTAGGCCAGAGGGCACCT